GGATGGTAACACCACAATCCCTTCTCCTCCATTCTCCTCTCAGGATCTTGGGCATGCACGCACATGTGCTCATCATGAGTTTAAGCCACCAGGTCCGGGACTCAAACCACAATTGACTACATGGGAATTCAGCGACATAGCCATTACGCTAACTGCTGGTCTCTCTCCTTTCTTGAGCATTCTCTTGCTCTCTTGTGCTTTTACCCACCAAATATAATTCTAATTTCAGGGCATGTAGGAGGAAAAGAACAGAGCTAGTGAAGAAATTTTATTAATGTATAAAAGAGTGAAAATTCTTGAAATGGCAAAAACCCAGCCAAAGCTAAAAAAAATAAATTATCTCATGATATTGTTGAAATCTATCCAAGAGGAGAGAGTGAAGTCATTTTAAAAAATGAATGCAAGGGACCAGCAGTTGGTGTAATGGCTATATTGCTGGACTCCCATGTAGTCGACCATAGTTCAAGTCCTGGACCTGGTGGCTTAAACTCACACTGGGTGCATGTGCATGCGTGCCCAAGATCCCGTGAGGAGAATAGAGGAGAAGGGATTGTGCCATGGCCATACCCCTGGGGGTGATTTCTTGCTTTCTGTCTCTCTGTCTCTCTGTGTCTTTCTGGCTAGGGCATATGTCCTATAGCAAAAACTTCTCAAAAAAAAAAAAAAGAATACAAGATAAAAATCCTTGAAATGCCAAAAATGCACAAGCTGAAAAATAAAACACTCTCTCATAAGCATGTTAAAATCTACCCATAAAAGCAGACATTTTTTTCTTTTTAATTTGCCAAAGGGCATGTACACTTGCTGGAGAGAGAGACAAAGAACTCCCCAAAGGGAATGATCATACTGCTGTGTGATCTTGTCTCCTCCGTCTCTCTCACCTTTCAGGATTTGGGGCATACATACACATGCAGCTGTCATGTTTTTCAAGTTGCTGGGTCTGAGAATCAGACTACACAATTGGCCATGTGGGATCCACTTACCTTAACCACCCTGCCACAGGCTGGATCTAGGTATTTTTAATTGAAATAAATTTTTTGGCCATGAAATAAAAAATCTATGTGCTGAGACAGCAAAGTAGACTTAAGAAGGTTATGAGCGCAATTTAATGATGAGGAAAATAAAACATGAATTCAGTAAGGTTTGAACTTCAAAACACCAGGTTTGAACTCTCTCTCTCTCTCTCTCTCTCTCTCTCTCTCTCTCTCTCACACACACACACACACACACACACACACACACACACACACACACACAGTTAGATCAATGACCTGTGTGCTCTTCTTGCTTGGTATCTATCAGAGAAAAGCCAGATAGCAAGGAGGAAATTATTTTATGTGAGTGGTCAGCTGAAAGGGAAAGGGCTCATGGTCTCACAGGTTTGCTTCCTATTATGACTCAAATAGCAGTGTGTGCCCCAAAGTTTCATGTTTTGGAATTTGTGGTTGGAAGCTGTGAGACCTAATGGCTGGAGACTGGATCATGTGATTATATCATGGGCCAACACTCTTGTGACTCAGTGAGTTCTGGTTCTTGTGAGAAGGGGTTAGTTCTTTTGAGTTGATTGTTGTAAAAGCAAGTCCTGCGCAGGCCTGCCACCCTCTGTGCTTCCGTCAGCCATGCTCTTGGACTTCCAGCCAGAATCATGAGTTTGACAAATCGCGCTGTGTGCTCACCCAGTCTCAGGCATTTCTGTTAGCAATGCAATTACAGACTAACACAGTTTCTGCTATAGACCAGAAGTGTAAATCTTTGAAAGCTTTCAAAAGATGGCTTCCAAAAAGATATTTCTAGTTCTCTTATTTTTGATAAAAGACAATGATAGTTTTCATCCCTTACAAAATTCTCATGTTCTATTAACTTTAACTTGGAAATACGCCATCACCTTGTTCAGAGAACAGAAGTAAATAGATATTTTTAAGGGGGGATTTTAAAAGTGGGCAATGGTTCAACTTTAAAAAAATACACATAGATACACAATAATGAATTTATTGTTAAATTCCCTTGACAATGTGCAGGGAAAAAAATAATCTTACTAAGAAATCCAACATATTTTATTCTCATTTTTCTTTTTTAAAAAATTTTAAATGCAACAAATATATTGAAATGTGCATAAAATACCAATATATTTAACAAGTTGTTAAAATTAATTCATATTATTTCATTCAGATCAAGCAAGAAAAGTCTCTTATCTACCCCTCCTTATCATAAGCCCATCTTTCCATGGAAATGACCACTATTGCGTTAATTTACATCCCTGTTTTTCTCTATACTCTTACTAAGATAAATTATTACTAAACAACATTGTTTAATTCATGTTATTTTGGATCATGCAGTATGTACTCTGTTGTGTCTGATTTAACATTTTTTAAAGAGATTTTTGCTATAGAGCACATGTACTCTCTGGAGAGGCAAAGAGAGAGACAGAGAGACAGAAAGTGAGAAATCACCCCCCAGGAGGGATGACCATGCTGCAATCCCTTCTCTTCCAGTCTCCTCTTGGGATTTTGGGCATGCGCACACATGTACTTGGTATGAGTTTCAAGTCGAGGGGTCTGGGCCTCAAACCATGGTCAACTGTATGAAAGTCCAGCGACATAACCATTATGCCATTTGCTGGTCCCTTAACATTTTTTAAAAGAATTATTTACTTGATTTTATTTATTACTATTATTATCACATTTGCTATAGAGCACATGCAATCCACAGAGAGAGACAGAAAGAGAGAGAAGGAAAGTAAGAAAGCAAGTCACCAAGTCCAGGACTTTAATTGTGGTTGACCATGTGGGAGTCCAGAACCTTAACCTCCATACCACCTACTAGCCCTGATTTAACATTTTTACTCAATATATGTCTTTAAGATTCACCTATGTTACTACAGTTTGTTAATCTCCATTGCTGTGTGATATTTCATTGTAAGATAAAACCTCAGCTTATTTATCTCTTTTCCATTGTCCAACCCAATGGACATTGCACTGTTCCCGGGCAGAGCACATTACAAAGAACAACGCTGTGAACATTCCTATACACATCTTTTGGTAAGTTGAATTGCTGGGTCATTAAGGTATATGCATTCCCAGCTTTCTTAAACATTACCCAAGTACTTACACCCTGCTCAGGTTTTTCTACTTTTAAGTATTATAGTGGTGTACCCAAGTCATGTGCTTAAGGACTGTACCTGGTTTTACTGGCAAGAATATGTTGGTAAATTAGTTTGGAAACAACTTTTTTTGGCCTACTCTTTTTTTTTTACTGATTCAGTTTCTCCCAGTGATACACTGTAGCAGACCTGATTTCTCTTGCTTTTGCCATACTAATACAGTCATTTTTTTAAATCAGCCTTGCATCTGTATCCAGATAGCTATAGAAAATGGCAATTAGGGGACCCAGAAGAAAGCCAATATTTGAGAAATAATTTGTATAGGACATAATTTCTCTTAGGTTTAAAGCTTCTATATTAAGGGTTCTGTGAAGTGTAGTACTATCTGGTTTTTTACTTTATCCTTTATTTTGTAAGGCTCTTTAAGTGATGCCAATGCAACAGAATGACTTAACACAGGTAAATGCCAAATGGGATTTAAAATATCAATTTTTCTTCTTTAAAGTTGGATCCCTCCAGGATATTATGAGCATGCAAGCAATCTTCATGGCAGTCTGTCACCTTGTGGCTCCAGAAATTGAAAGCTCATCATGTTCATTTCTACTTATTAATATTTTTAGTGTCTGCCTTATAAATCAGGCACAAAATAAAGAGCTTTTAAAAATAGCCTTCTAAGGGACCAGCAGTTGGCGTAATGGCTATGTTGCTGGACTCCCATGTAGTCTACCATGGTTTGAGTCCCTGACCCAGTGGCTTAAACTCACACTGGGCACATGTGTGTGCGTGCCCAAGATCCTGAGAGGAGAATGAAGGAGAAGGGATTGCGGCATGGCTATTCCCCCCTGGGGGTTGATTTCTCGCTTTCTGTCTCTCTGTCTCTTTGTCTTTCTGGCGATTTTGGACACACATGCACACATGCACACATGCCCCGTGTGAGTTTAAGCCCCTGGGTCCAGGACTTGATACATGGTCAACTAAGTGGGAGTCCAGCGACAAACCATTATGCCATCTGCCAGTTCCACTCCATGAACTTTTTAAAGAAAAGAACAAATGAAAGTTTAAAAATAAACACAATGTGGGACCAGCAGTTAGTGTAATAGCTATGTCACTGGACTCCCATGTAGTCGACTGCGGTTCGAGTCCCAGACCCAGTGGCTTAAATTCACGCCAGGCGCATGTGCATGTGTGCCCAAGATCCTGAGATGAGAATGGAGGAGAAGGGATTGTGGCATGGCTATTCCCCCCTGGGGGATGATTTCTCGCTTTCTGTCTCTCTGTCTCTCTCTGTCTTTCTGGCGAGTGTACGCACCCTATACAAAAAACCTCTACAAACACACACACACACACACACACACACACACAATGTATTCGTCACCCCCCAACTATGAGCAGCACCTGCCAAGCTCGGTTCCCCTCTTTGCCCCCACCTGTCCTAACTAGTGGCAGGGGTTGTCCACGTGTGGCTCCCAGGTGAACTGAGTGCAGTGGGCAGTCAGGGCTCCTCCTAGCTGCCCCAGCCAGGGGTGTGTTCTGCCCTGACTAGTCCTGGCCCACACCCCCAGGGCTGCCCATATTCTCTGGGGTCCTAAAAGCAATTGTGCAGATTTCAGCAGGGCACTCTAGAACAGGAGAGCAGGTGTAGGACACTGGCTCTCGAACAGACCCCGTGGAGCTCTCTGTGCATGTCCAGGTCTGGCTGAGATTGGGGTCCGAGGATGCTCACAGCCCTCTTCCATTACACAAATGTCAGAGAAGTCAGGACCTCAGTACACGGCAATGCTTTTAATAGAAAGTCAAGCTGTCGGCAACTTTTCTGTGTACCTCTCAGATGTGAAATAGAGGAAGCAGGACATTACATTCCTGTTTGCATATTTTTTCAAAAATACTTTTTAAAATTTTTTTCTATTCCAGAAAGAAAAAATAATCTTGGAACACAGAAAACTCTGCACTTTGTAAGTGGGCGACCTGCAGCAGGTCAGAGATGATGACTATCCAGAAGACTGCTGGAGTCAGAGGCTCCTGGAGGGGCTTCCCGCCCACTCAGTCACAGATGGATGGCTTGTTGACATTGTAACTGGGGTGGAAGTTGAGTGGGTCATAGGTGGTGATGAAGTTGTCAGGGCCAGTCACAAAGCTCTTCTCCATACAGATGTTGAAAGTATTGTTTTGAAACATTCCACAGGCTGCAAGTTGTCTGGAAAATTTATTTGAATTTGGATAAAATACTTTCTGGAAGAGAAAAGAAATATTAGAATTAACAATGCACTATAACACTCTTGAACAATCTGTTGGGTATTTTGGGGAGAAAAGCATTTGTAAGGAAATGTGATCTCTATTCCTAGGAAGCAGAGGTGGTGGTGGACAGGACAGCCTCATTTGCCTCAGACCATCCTAATCTATGCCTGCTCTCTGGGGACAATTACTAGCGATGCCTTGTCCCACTATCGCCCGTACAGAAGGTACAGAATGGTGAGTCACAGGTCACCTGGGGTGCAGTTCCATACCTGGGTGTAACTGTGGGCATTAATTCAGTGCTAGGGCCTGGAGTGATCCCCAGATCTGTTTTCCCAACTGTGCTACCCTGGGGAAGTTACCAGACCTCTCAGGACTTCAGTTTCCTTTGTTCCATGGAACAAAGATAATATCCACATTAGTGGACTTCAAACCTCAACTGTGAATTAGAATCATTAGTATAGCTTTGAAAAAATTCCAATGAGGGACCAGAAGATGACATAATGGTTACATAACCGGACTCCCATGTAGTGGACCATGGTTCAAGTCCCAGACCTGGTGGCTTAAACTCACACCAGGCATGTGTGCTGTGTGCCCAAGATCCCAAGAAGAGAATAGTGGAGAAGGGAGTGCAGTGTAGCCATCCCCCAGGGAGTGATTTCTTGTTTTGTATCTCTCTGTCTCTACAGTGAGTGCATATGCCCTATAGCAAAAATCTCTCTCAAAAAAAAAAAAGAAAGAAAGAAAGAAAGAAAGAAAGAAAGAAAGAAAGAAAGAAAGAAAGAAAGAAAATAAAAGAAAAAAGAAAAAAGAAAAAAAATTCTGACACTCACATCCTACCAGCTGAGTGGCCTGGGGTGGAGCTCCCCTACTGAAGCTGAGAAGTCTAAACTTTTGCTGAGGGGCTGGCAAGGTCACCTGTGTGGGGAGGCACCCAGTGGTAGAGATTATTCTAGAAAGATAGCCTAGTAGTTGGCCTCGAGATTTCTGACATGATTGGCCTGGATCTTTGCCGGGTATTTTAACCTAGACAAGTGACCCGTCCTTCAATTATTCTATGTCAAGTAGACTGCTTGATGCATCAGCTACTTGGCAGGAAGCAAGTGCAAAGAAAAATGTCTTCTGTGCAGTTATTTAAATAGCCTTTACTTAAATATTTATTTAGCTTTATACCTGCAGAAAATTTGAGCACAAAGTAGAGTGGGTCTGAAATTACCTCCCCCAACAGTTTTCCCTGTCATTAATGTCTTTCATTATGGTGGCATATTTGTTACAATGGAACCAATATTGATACTTAATTTTTTTTTTCTTTTATAGGTTTTTGCCCTAGGGTACAAGTTCTTGCTAGAGAGAGAGGCAGATACAATGAGAGGGAAAGTGAGAAACCACCCTCAGGGAGGACAGCCATGCTGCAATACCTTCTCCTCTGTTTTCCTCTCAAGATCTTGGGCACAAACACTCACATGCTTGGTGTGATATTCAAACCCCTGGGTCCAGGACTCGAACCATGGTTGATCATATGGGAGTCCAGCAATGTAACTGATCTGCTGGCCTGACTTTATTATTTCTTAGAAATATCTTTTTAAAATTTTTGTCAGAGAGTCCATGAGCTCACCAGAGAGGCCAACACACAGAGAAGAATAGGGAGAAAATATTCCCTCCTGGGGGAATGGTCATGTCGTAATCCCTACATGTGTCTTGTGTATTTTTTAAGCTACTGGATCTAGGACTTGTGGGATCCTACATTAAACACCAGGCCATGAACTGGTCCCTAAAAAATCTTTCTTTATGTATGATGTATGCATATACATACATGTATGTTACCAGAGGGTTCATGTGCTTGCTAGAGAGAGAAAGAGTAACCCCAGTGGGGTATGGTCATGCTGCAATCCCTTTTCTTTAATTTCTACTTCTCATCAGAATTTGGGGCACATGCTCACATGTGCCCAGTGTGTTTTTCAGGTTGCTGGGGCTGGGACTTGAACCATGGTGAGCCATGTGAGGTCCTGCTCCCTTTACCACTGTGCTACAGGGCCAGCCCAATACTTTATAATTCATTAAAGTCCTTGGTATACCTTAGGGCTCCTTCTCGCTGTTGTACACCCTAAAATTGTTGACGAATACATAATGATGTGTACCCACCATTACAATTTCATAAAGAATATTTCCTTTCAGTATATTTTTTAAAATGTAAAGCATTTCTGTTTTGAGTTCCACAGGGAAGATGAATGCCAGTAGTAACACTTGGTCAAGAAGCTGGAGTGCAGGATGCAGGCAGAGCAGGTCACTGAGAAGCAAGATGACCTCCTTCAGCGCAGTTTCATGGCTGTCCTTCTGCCCCCCTCCCCACGGCCTGGGGCACTAGGGAACAGGACACTGACTATCCACAGTAGGAGCACTGGTTCAATGACTTATTTCTTTAACTTTTATCTCTATTTATCTTGAATTTATTCCTCTGCCATAAGTTTCTGTTTCTTCAGTTTCTTCTGGGGTATCCTTTTTATCCTGTGCAACCTCCTCTTCTGGTTCAGAAACAGTCTGCTCCTTTTCAGTGAGGATCATCTTTTTTCTTTTTTTTCTTTTTTTTTTTTTTTTGGAGAGGTTTTTTTACTACAGGGCGTGTGCACTCGCCAGACAGACAGAGAGAGACAGAGAGACAGAAAGCGAGAAATCACCCCCCAGGGGGGATGGTCACGCCGCAATCCCTTCTCCATTCTCCTCTCGGAATCTTGGGCACACACGCGCCCGGTGTGAGTTTTAAGCCACCGGGTCCGGGACGCGAACCACGGTCGACTACGTGGGAGTCCAGTGACATAGCCATTACGCTAACTGCTGGTTCCCAGTGTGGATCATCTTGAAGTGGCATGGGAGCTCGTGTTCAGTTTAATCCGGCCATGAGCTCTGTTCAATGGCACATGTTGGGTGCCTTGTTCACCTGAATATGCTCAATGACCAGACAACCACAAATGACCAGAGAACCACATCTAAACCCTTAAGTTCTGCATTTTTAAGCATGTGCAGCAAAGATTCAGCACTCTTTTGGAGCCAGTGACCCTGTGTCCAGTCCCACTGTTTGGCCTGGGCACATCTACCAATTCGATGGCCTTTTATAAAAGCTCAAACGTTGGGCCCCTAGTGAGTGGTCATGAGGATCTTTTTCATAGGAACACCAGATCCCTGAGGGAAACTCTGAATCTACTGATTCTGGGAGTAACTCTCAAATGCTCCTGAAACCTTTTGAATCAGTAATTGCTTCTCATAAGAGCTCACACACATAACAGAACTAAATATGCAATCACTAGAACTTTCACAATGATGGCTACTTTGCAAAAACAAATGAAACAGCATTCTCATCCCAAAACGGGTGGCCCGAGCATCCTGGGTATGGCGGGGAGGCTGCACTGGTCCATCTGGCCCTGCACCTAGATCTGTGGGTTCACTCGGGGTCAAGGAGGGAAGCACTGGGGTGGGAGGTCATCTCAAAAAGTCACTGGGCTTTCCCAAAGGCACACAGCTCCCTGTACCCACAGCATTCCTCACTCTCCTGCCACCTGAGCTTTCAGTCAGTCCTGCCTCATATCTTAGGGTCAAGTGAATTTCTCATAAAAGAAGGTGCAACTGCAGATAGTTCTTCACTGCTTTGCCTCAAATTGCCTGGTGTTGCAAGAGATGTGTCTGTGTGTGAATGTTGTGTATAGTTGTGAGTGGGATCGCATGTTTAGGCGTGCTTTCTCACCCTTGACGACATTTTCGGAGCCAGCCAGTGAAGTGGTGGTTAAGGCAGTGGATCCCACATCGCCAACTCTGAGGTTCAAGTCCCACACCTGGTGGCTTGAAAAATACACTGGGTTTGTGGGCCTACATGCCCACAAGAATCCCAAGAGGAAAATGGAGAAAGGATTGTGGCAAAGCCAGCTCTCCCCTCTCTGTTTCTCTTTGTCTCTTTCTAGTGAGCACACTAGCCCTATGGCAAACATTTAAAATAAATAAAATATTTTCCTCCCACATTCACTTGTTCATTTATTTCTAACTGTCCTGTTCTAAAACCGTTTCTGTGCCTCCCTCCCTCTTTGGGATGTGGGGTGCCTCCCCCTAATGATATACGCCTTTTTGAGAACTCCAGGTTTTCTGTCACCTGGAGACCAGCCGCCTCCCACCACAGCCTGCCCAGCTGCCCACTTACCGGCATCTCGTGCACGGTGGGGGCCCTGCTCCCGTAGGCTTGGTTACTGGTCCTGTACACTGAGACGGCCTCCTTGGTCCTGGGAACCGAGAAACAGTTTTCCATTCACTCTTCCAATTCTGCCCAAGCCACAGCCTCAAAGTATTGGGTTGGTGGAGCTTGCTGGCAATGCCCTGAGCAGAGGCCTGCCAAGCAGGGCTCCTGGGAGACCAGAGCAGACTGCACAGGCGGCCCACCCCTGCCCCTGCTTTCTCAGGTAGGCCAGAGTCCCAGAGAGGACCCTACGGATGCTCAGCCTTGGCAAGGTCTTAGCATACAGTGGTTTCCAGAGTGGGTTATTCAACCTAGTGGCAGCCAGGTCTCCGCAGCCAGACCTTACCGCCCAGTGGGTCCCTCTGCTCCTAAGCCCCGTCTTGCCAAGGCTGGGCAGATCAGGAGAAAACAGGCTGCAGTCACAGCAGGTCACACCACCTACTGGTGG